TTACAACTGCAACATCTGCAGATATCACAGTTCTTAGTAAGATTTGCCTACAAGAGCCTTAGGCTGCTGAAAGTTGAGGAACACTGTTGGGTGCATCAACTCTGTTTAACAATCCACTTTAATCTTTTTTTCCCAAGAGGCATGCAACAGGACAAACTAAAAACTCAGACTCCCATATCCTGGAGCATATTCCACTTGAAGTTTCTTATATCACAGTCCAGTCAGAATCACATCCAAATACCTTTGTGCAGTTTATCTCCAATTCTGTACATCTTGAAGGTTAAGGCATTATTGCAATTTTTCTTTATATTTCAGCAATATTTAAACATGAAACCCTGCATATATATAAGGTAGCATCAATAAGTAAATAAACAGAATACTGCAAAAATGCTATCACATTGGTCTTGTTACTGAGACTGAAAATTGAAGCATCACTAACACACATTTATTTTTTAGTCTAAATATTTAAGGACTATACAACTCATTGAAAAATGAAATGTCAGAGAATTGAAGAACAATGTCAAATATATCTTCTAAATTCCTCATTAAGTGTCCCCAGTTATAATTCAAAAGATTCTAAATATTTATGACTTTCTAAACTATTGGTCATGAATTAATTATTTTATACAGAACTATTTCCACAAGTTGCTTTATTAGTGTAGTGATAATTTAGAAAAAAAAAAGCTCAACAAAAGTTTAATTTCATCCATGAATGAGTTAATAAAGGAGGAATGCAGATATCTAACTGCAGCCATTTCTGAAGGGGGTGTGTGTAGCAAAAGGGGGGATACAGAGAAGATTAAAACCCTGCAGATTAAAACACAACAAACCAATATATTTCAGTGTAGACTAAACACCCCATCTCCCTCTCTGGACAAAAATGACCCCAGTTATTCCCAAGCCAGGAATTTCCTACAACTATCTCATGTGCAGCATAGCCTCCTTCTTCACAATGCTCTTCTCTGAAATGCCTCCTAGCTGTCTAAGCAAGAACTTCTAGGAGCCTCCCACTGCCAGGAGGTTGAAGCTGAGCACTGCCCACAGCTGGCGAACTGGAGGGATATGCACTGCCTGAACAACACTCACCAGGGACAGCTCACATCTAATGGAGACGTGGCTCCACTCAAATAAAATAGCACCGGCAATTTGAAAACAGAAGGAGCAAAAAGGAGTGGGAAACAAAAATAGTATCTATGCATGGTTCAATTATTCTGGTTACAGTGGACCAGGAGTGAGTCTAAGGTTTATCACCATTAAGACAGGAGAAGAGTTGGATATGGGGGTAGAGCAGCAGCCTGCACAAAAGCTTGGCCAGAAGCATGCAGTGAAAGACCTGCTGCAGACCTGTAATAGATATAGAGGAGGACGTGTCTCTCAAAAATGATTCAAACCTGGGAAACCCCCAAAAACATCACAAAAGGCAGATAAGTTTTCTAGCTCTCTAAAATTAAATAATGCACCAAGCAGGTATACGTGATATGCAAGCCTACACGCCACTAAAATGATATCATCTTCCTCTGCAAGGATAACTGATATCTTCCTAAGATAACTGCTTTATCTGTATTTAAAGAAATCATTTCCTTTTCAATTAGATATGAATGCATTCAACAGCTTTCATCAGAACAATCTGCAAGCAATAGTGCAGCTGGTGCTTTGTCAAGATGCCTCCCTCTTCCCAATCTAATTTAGTCATTCTAGTGGCTAAAAGACGATTTTGCTATATAGGTGACATTATAACATCCACTGAGGCATTCCAGAGAAGCAGAAACACTTGATTTTCACTTAGACCAAAACAACCCTTTCCTGCTGTAGCCAACAGTGCTGTTCCTTGGATGGTAAGATCTGCGAAGAAAATTTATTAAGAGGTAATACAGAACTCAAGTTGACAAAATTACACTTCTATAACTCTGGTACTTCCTCCACTCTGAAGTGATGGAGGGATAGAGTCTGCTGCATTGTGAAAATGTTAAAATAAAAAACCATAAAACTCTTTCAATATAATGGTTCAGCTCTGACACAGATCTGCAGCAGTAACTGATGCTGATGATTAGCAGATAGTCCCGAGAGATGCATTATCTAATTTTTTTCTAGAGAATTTTTGTGTTCTTTAAATTCAAAGATGTGACATGAAGATCTGCATGTGGCATACACCTACTGAAGATAAACAATTAATCTGTCTTTTACTATATTTTAGTGGTTTTACTCTGGAACATTGCTTTCCGTTTATGATGCAGATACACTGCCAATAGCTCCAGCTCCACAAAGTGGCAATAATTCCAGTCACCTTTCAACAATGTAAAAAACCAGTTCAAGTGACAATGATGACTGAAACCAAGCTTCATCTGTACAATCAGAAAGAGTGAACATTGGCTGTGTTTAATCCAATGGAAATCTTGGTGAAGACTTCAAGTACAGTTAGATTAACATCAGGAGAGCCTTCAAGATTTATAAAATATAAACCAGAAGTTGATTAGACATAGTGGAGCTTAAGAAAAACTGAATCCAAATACTCATTAGCCAAATAAGGTATTTTCCTGTCTCAATTTTCACTTTTTACATGTTTTCATGTGCTCTACTCCCTCAGTACTGTCGGGGTGACAACAGGGATGTAGCCAGATAAGAAAACAGAACTACCATAGCTGGATGAATCTTTATTTTTCTAATAGATACTTTTCTGAAGAATAACAGTCAATTGTAAATGAATACAGCATGTAATCTTATTGAAGGTTTCCTTTAAACATGAAAAATAAAGAAGTGAAAACTACTGAAAATTCTCTTGTATTATCTGAACACACTTCAAGTAAAGTATTTCTATTAATTTCTGGCAGCAGCTTTCTTTCTTTGGCCCCCCAGTAGCTGCATCCTAAAGATATGAATTTTTTGATTCACAGTTCACTGAGGAGTTGATTTCCAGCTCAAGGCTGGTGAGCACTAGCAATTCATGGAATGTAATGGCTGGTGTCATACAGGGGGGCAGACCATGATCTCATGGTCTCTTCTGGCCTTAAACTCAAGGAATTATTATCCAATTTTGCAGCTAATGTCCTTGGAAGTGAACTCTATTTCCATTTTAATGCAGAACTATAAGATGACGATAGAGACAATACACAGATCTGCCTGAAAGTTGAAAGGTAACAAAAGAGAACACTCTGGATAATAAAAAGCAGTTGCATGAAGGAAGTTTTAAAGTAACAGTGCACATGCTTAAAACAGTGTGCTAGACAATGCTTTTACAAAATTAGGCAAGAAAAAGCTTAGAGTGTTTACAGGGCAGCAGAACTTTTTAGGGTTAACTGTGCTTCTGTCCAAAAAGCAAGTGAGCAAGAGAGCCCAGAGAGCGAGCAGCACACACACAGACAGACACAGACACCCAGTGCGGTGCACAGAGATACAACACAGCCACAAGGAGCACACATTATAGCACTGGAGCACTGACTCAATCAACTCGCTCTGGCTTTTTTCCAGACAAACCCCCCACTCACTCACTTCCCTGCCTTTCAAGCTGGATACGCTGGAATGAGTCAATCAACAAACAAGGGCAGCAGCAAACTGCGAGCTTTGCTTATGAACAAAGATAAAACTGCACACAGACTCTGCTCATCACTTCAATAAAGTCAACAAAGGATGGAAGAGAAAGGACAGCAAAAAAGAACACAACCTTATTTCTATCTTTTTTAAAATGTGGTAAGAAAGATTCCTCTCTATTTCAGAGTTGGAGAAAATATCTTGGTGAGAAATATTATTTTCCCAAAATACAAATTCTTAATCTTGGTGATAGAAGAAATATAAGTGCTAAACAAAAACACATGAAGAAACAAGCTTCAGAAATATTATAACAGCAAAAAGCAAACGATCAATTTGTTTTCTAGAAAGTAGTAAAAAATCTCGAAATTCACCGTGTGATGAAAAAGAAAATTACAAAGGATCTTCCTGGATGCAAAGTGAACTCTACTAAAATGCAGAGAAAGAGGTAAGGCTTTCTTCACCTGAATATTGCAACACATCAAATCTTCTCAGTAACTGAGAATTTGCTCAGTTTAACGCTGGAACAGCTGTTTGAGTCTCTGCTTGAAGGGGGAAATGCAAGTCTTAAGTCGTTAGCAGAGTTGAGAGAGACACAGAAGAGACAGAGAAAGAAAGAAAGAGAAAGGAAGAGAACAGGCTGTGCTTAATAAAAGCCCTGCTCAGATTACAAAAACAAGCGTTTTACTCACCCCCACCCCTTCAAGTAATGGGTAAATTTAGATGTCTCAGTTCGATAAATCTTTACGGTCCCCTTGAGACTGTCACCAGTGTTTTATTGTCTGCAGCTTCCTGACCCTCACCTGATAAATTAGGAACTGTAGAGATTAAAACGGAAATCTCATACATAATTTCTGAAGGTATTTTTGGGTTACCCTCTGTGGAGAAATAGGATTCTTAATAAGGGGAAATATGGGAACTGCTGCCTGCCTACGCACACGCTGCTGGAGACAAGACACTCGGGAGAGGAGGAGTTGCAAACACACAACTCGAGCATCTGCCTTTGCATCAGTTTGTACTCACAAAGAGCAAATCTACATACGCTGTATCTAAACGGAACTGTCTGGCATTGAGATTCATCTATCACTTTTTTACTGCTGTAGAAAGAAAGAAAAAGAAAAGGAAGCTAATGCACTGCTTACTGTTCACAGCTACTGAATTTTCCCCTGTAATCTTCTGAAACCTGAACCTCGCTACAAAGGGGAGACCAGACCACTGAACCCTACCAGAGATGGACACGAGACAGGACTTTCATTTTTAAGTCTATTTTGCACTCAGCAAGGCACAGGATAATAAAACTGGATACCAGCTTGGACATGGTCACAGTATCTCAAAATAGCAGATGACCAGCTCACTATACTGACCATGCTGGCCTTTCTTCAGGACCATCCTGGACCAGAGAGGAACAGTGAACTCTTGCACCGTACACGATTCCTGCGCAAAACAGAGCTCCTGAACACATTCTGCTGGACACAAAAATGTCCCATCCTTTACATTTCTTGAACGGGTTTGGAGCTGGCAATGGATCTTTGTCGGCTCTCTCAGTAACAGGAGCACCCAAGCAGGACGACCCAAGTGACGAACAAGGAAACAGAGTGCGCTGGGCAGCGCTGCTGATCCTCCTGCTGATAATCCCCACCATTGGGGGGAACATACTTGTCATACTGGCCGTGTCCCTGGAGAAAAAGTTGCAATATGCTACCAACTACTTTTTGACGTCCTTGGCAGTGGCAGATTTGCTCGTGGGTCTGTTTGTGATGCCCATTGCCCTCCTCATAATATTATTTGGTAAGTACAGCATGTTTGTTTCATCAGGTTTGCATATGGGGTACAATTTGGGGAGGTCTAATTTAAACAGAAAAACTGTTTGCTTTCCACCATTACAATTTTAAAAAATCACTTGCATAACAGCTGCTAAATCTTTTCTCCCTCTCACCTTAACAGAGCTTAATGCTTTTATGAGAAGTACAACTACTGTGCATATTCCTTCCTTTGAAACAAACCATTCCAAAATCACCCGAGACTTAGAACTGATTTAAAGAGGAGCTGGACACAGGCAATTACATTTTGTACAGTGTAATATAATTTTTAACAACATCAACACAATGCTGGTATTTTTATATTGGATATCATACTAATTGTAGGCAGTCTTCTCTTAAAAAACTTGAAATTAAGACTAAGTGTCTGTTCAGGACACTGAACAGGTTTTGAACTTTCTAGGAGTCAGGCACCTGATTTTACTTGGGTATTGACTCCAAGCTCCATGAGCAGAGATGGTCCCTGGCACCATCAGTGACAACAAACTTTACCAGTACCAGTTTCAGAGAAATCTATTTTCTCCCACCCTTGAGGCAGCGGGTCTGTAAAGCATCACAAAGAATTAACTCATCTGTCAAGCCAAGGAAGTCTCAATCCATGTACCTAATGTTTGTAATTCAGGTTTGTCATTTAGTCTGTTTCATATGAAATAAAATAGGGGGTTTTTTTCTACCTGAATGTACACTGGGTGTGACATTTTCTTTCCCACTAGTCCTTACAGAATAAGTATGATTTTTCTAAAGTCTCTCATGCCCAGCTTTACTTCAGATATTGCTTCTGACAATTAATCAGAGGCAGCTCCATGGGAAAGTCTCTCTCTTTTACTCCTAAGGTTCCTTTTAGAATACATTTTAAATGGTTTATTTTCATATCATAAATGGAAAAAAACCCAATAAGGCAGGTTTTCCAATAAACTTACAGATTTACATAATTATCTTTAAGGTATAGACAGATACCACTGGGCCCTAGATAACGAACGGCTGCAGGAGTTCATTTTTCCTAGGCTAGGCTCTAAGAGTTGTCAGAGCAACAAGTAAACACATCATAAACTTTATTTCAGAAAGGCTGTCAGCAGCTTTTGTTTGCTGCAGAAAACTGGTATCACTTTATTAACAAATGTGTTTATTCACTAAATGCCTTGAGAATGAATTTCTGTATAATACAGACTGCTTCTCCCTAAACAGAAATGTAAATTGGAGCTCAGAATTCAGTGTTGAGATAATAAAATGGTTTTTTCAAGCAACAGTTTCTAAAAAGAAAACTGAATGTACATAACTAAGACAGTAACTTTTAATTCAAAAAACCCAGCTACTCATAGAAAACCTTGATATGTTAAGTATGTATAAGGAGGCAAAGAGCAGATATGAATTTACATATATACACACAGATACTGTAACTGCTTAATTCCTGCTAAAGGTCTCGTTAATAATAAAACTACTAATCACAACCAGTACTAGTATGGACTTGCAATCAACATAAAGGGAAGGCAAATTCTGGATTTTGTGGAGTTCTTTTTTTGGTGGTGGAGGAGTTTTTATGGTTTGGATTTTTTTTTAATTATTTTCTTCTGCTAGACTCACCAATCTTTTCTTCATAACTTTATAAAGAGACTATTGCTCCTTAATCTCTCAATTAATCCAGTGCTATGCCCTGGTTACAACAGTTTAAAGCATGCTAGGAATCTTAATTCAGAAGTCAAACAAAAACATCTTTCATGATGCAGGAAATTTACCAGAAGGTAGTAAAATCAGTTCTAATTAATGAAGACTGCAACCCACCTTCCACATAACAGTGGTTAAAACTCAAATTTCTCACACACAAGTCTCTCCTTGGCAGCCAACCAGAAAACTGCTTTGCCTCTTCACCAACTGGGAGAAGATGCTGAGGTGTTTATAGGAGTTCAAAGTGTGAGCAAAACACGAGGAGTTACTGGAATGAAGCTAGAACAGACATTTAAATACATGAGAAGTCTAAATCTTGAAGCTACATTAGCCAGATAACTACTTGAACAAAGAATAGTCATTGATAGCCAGACAGCAAACTAAATCCTGGCACTTCCACACAGGAATGTTTCCATAATAATGAAAGAGCCGGGTGCAGCTTCTAGATACCGAGTACAAATATTATGCTTCCGATTTGGGATTGATATCTAATTATGTGGAGAATATCTGAGGGAAAAGGTGTGAAATAAAGTGCAGTCACACTAAGATCCCGACTGCACAAATTAATGTGTCACAGGGTGTTCAAAACCTGCTACAGATATCGGTACACTTACAGAAAAATCATCAGAAATAGACTGTCTCTGTAACAAAGAGCTGACTCTCTTAAAAATAAGTAAATAAATGAATCTGTAACTCACTCCCAGGTGTAATGCCATGCTCAGCACATTATTTATTCTCAGCAGAGCAACCAAAATGTACTCTGGTACAAGCACACACAGCAATTTTAATTTAGGAGCGCAAGTGTCAGAATACATAAACATTTCATAGCTTTTATTCCTTTCTAAATTCTTCTCATTTCTTTTAAAAAAAAAGGCGGGCCCACTAGGAGATAATTTCATTCTCTGAAATCCAGCTTTCAAAACAGTTACCCAAATTTCTAACACTCAGAACTACAGAAGGAAAGCAAAAATGTTGCTATTCACTGGATAGAGAAATTAGCAAATAAACTTGAGAGATCCTCCCATTTGCAAAGCCTGCACCAGGAAGAAGTCTGGCTTGATGGGCAATGGATTGATTTGAGATAGTACATGTACCATATTTTAAAATATATTCTGTACTCTTGATAGTCATCCATTTAAAATCAGAAGGTAATGCTGCTTGTCCTAGGCTGCAAACCATTATTTTAATCTATCACAAGCAATCATCTTCCCCCATTACTGATGATGAACCACAACAACAAATCTTCCCTTCTCGCTTGTGCAAACTACCAGAGGAAACTATTTAATCAAGGGCTACTTTCCGAAATCTCAAATCTAAAGATAAGTGACAGTAAGTAGGAAAACAAAGGTTTATTTCTCACAAAGCAAATATAATTAAAAAAACCAAACCATTACTTTAGTTAAATTTAAAAAACTAGAGACCAGCCTGGAGACACAAAGCCTTGGCAGCCCACAGAGCCCAGTAGTGACATGACTGTGAATGCCACACACAGCTACAGACACACACCCCCCGATGTGAATGCTGAAGTTTACGATTAAAGGAGCTGGTGGTTGAAAGTATCCATTTCCGTCTCAGCAAAAGCATTATTATCTAACAGCAACACAGCCCCTTCTTTACAGGTAACACATTTCTGCAGCCCTTATAGCAGAAGAACAAACAGTATCTAAGTCTATTTAAAGAGCTCTCTTAATCATGCTTTTACATGTACACAAGTAGTGCTTTCCCTCAAGCTTTCCGAAAACCTTTTGGCTTACAGCAAGAACAGCTCTTCTACACTGTACTTTGTTTTAAGGATTACACATTTCTAAGGTATTTCCTATAAATAAAGCTTTTCTTAAATAAAGATTAATCAAGGGTAGACAGTTGCAGTAAAAACTAATCTTATTTCTCTTAAGGTGCAAGACAAATCTTAGAGCATGTATTCTATCTTGTTTTGACTCAAAATAAGGAAAATCTGCAACAGCAGCACTGTTGAAGTACTTGGAGGATATGAGGCAAAGTTTGTAGGAAAAAGGAATTTCTTTTTAACTTATACCACCTGACAGTTGGAGAAATCAGACAAGTTTTCAGGCAGGCACATATGTTGGGTAACCATGGCATTTAAAAGTAAATTTTAAAAAATCCAATCATACATCAGCATTTCAATTCCCAAGAGAATCTCAGGGACGGAGAATCCCAGTCAGCCCAGTAAATGCTCTGGTCTGCTCCAACAATGTGGATCTCTACCAGGAGAATCAGAACTCGTAACAGTCCAAACTAAGCATGACCTGCTAATGGCTTTGCATCACCTCTTGCAGGACATACTCATTTTACCTTCTGAGTTATAAAGTAGGACAACAACCAAGCACATCACTATCACATTCAAGGGTCAGAGATGCTTTCTGAGTCCTAAAGGGAAATTAATATTCCATCTTTTACCCATTCCTAAGCCAACTGTGATAGACACTGCCACCAGCACCAGGAAAGCACAATAACTCAACGCAGAGCAGTCCCTCAAACACCAGGCACAGAGTTTCTAACACAGGTGTAACCAACAAATCAAAGTAAGCTATAGCAAAATACACCACAGATTGAATCCTAGACAACTATGTGACTCTTCTGGACTTTGATGTATCAGTTTCATATTTGTTTCATTTAAATAATAACCATCATCTTCAGTCCTTATCAGAACTTATCAGTTCTTATCATTTAAAGTCTACTTTGATTTTGTTTGGAAAAGAAACATCATCTCATACATGCAAATATAGTAGGACATAATGCCATAATCATGAACATGATACCTTACTGCTTTGAGCACCCAGATCAAAACTAGACAAAAATAAAGAAAATATAAGGTCGCTCTGTTTAGTTGCACTTGTCAACTTACAAAAGGTCTTACAACTTAAAAACATACAACGTTGCTTGCATCAGATCAGTGTTTATATGTAACTAGTTTAAATAAAGGAAAAGGGCCTTTTGTTGCAAGGCAATCAAGGGTTTTCTTCTTTAAACAGTAAATTAATTAAAAAATGAAAGAATTTATCACACTGTGATTCTCCAGAACACAAAGGAGTTATAATCAAGGGAGTGGCACCCACGTACTCTTTAAAAGAAGTATCAGCTGCTCACTTGGAAGTCCAGCTGTGTTATCTGCCATCCTTCAAGTTGTAGACCACACTTCCCATTGTTCATGTTTTATCTGAACTAATCCTTCATCACAAACTCAGAAGAAGTTGTCTTAATTTTCTGGAGTGAGCAAAAACATTTCAAGCCCATCAAATCAGTTATTTCTTTTAACTGTTTTTTTATTATTATTATTAGAGCTGGTTACATGAGCCAGAATACTTTTGGCTTTCCTTTTTAAAGGAAATCCATTTCAGAAATGCACCACACCTTACTGCCAGCTAAAAGTGCAGACAGCAAAATTAAAGATGAGTAAGTGTTTCCTAATATACTAATTACCACTTTCTCATACCTGCCTGACAAGAAATTTTTCTGAAGCAGAATTTCAACAATGAAATTTATTTTTAGGAAATAGGTATGGTAGATACTAAAATCTACCTGGTTAATAAACTGAAAACAGACTGCCTCTTTACCTTCTGCCTCACTGCCTACATCATCCTCAGCTGAAGTCCTCTGCTTTGGGATGGCTGAGGATCAGTTCAGGGCTCCATCTGTCCATTCCCTTCTGTTTAACACAGAAGGTTTCCCAGCGTAGGTAACAGTGTAGACAAATACTTGTTATGTGTGTCTTTATAAAATTTTCAGTACTCTGGAGCTTATAATTCAAGCCAAGGCAACGCCATTATAATTTCTATCAGTCATATTGTGAAAAATTGTTTTGTCTCAAACTACTGCAACGTTACCACATTGGTAAGGCTGGACATTACAAAAGTCCAGCTCATTTGGCACTCTCAGCACACAGATCTATTTATTCCAAGCAAGGAAATTAAAACCAATCTGATTTATTAGAAATGTCTTCTTTTTTTCTCCCTTTATGATCATTCAACAAAGAACTGATTTCTCTGGCAATATTATTAATGTGCCTACTGATTGAGCATGGCTGAATTTTATGAGGGAGGAGAATATATTTAGTAGATCAACTTCTACCATTAAAAACAGAAAAATCTTCCTTGTTCACACATTCTTCCTGAGGACTACAGAACATCCTCATAGACACACAGCACTGAAGTGCACATCAAAATGAACACTCCTAGCATTGGATTGCAATACTAACGAGTGAAAATAAACCAATTAAGGAAAAAATAATCAGAGTTTCATTTGGTATTGTAGATATTGATAGGGGAGACACAGCTCTCAAAAATATGAGCCTTTTGGAAAGCTGAACACTATGAAACCTTTACCTCGGGCACCATGCAGTTGACAGACCCTATGTTTGCTATAAAGATTAACATTAAAGATGGATAACTACTGTAAGAAACAGAATGTCAGACTTAAAATCCAAGCCATTGCTCTTGGGAGAAGAAAAAAAAAAAAAGGACACTCATGAAAGCATTCAATTTTTATAAAATCATTACTGAAGTAGAACAGGCCTGCTTTGCCACTGTAGTGCTCAACTGTATCTGCTCAAGTGACACAGCAAATTCATTTTAAAACTGTGTGAACTAGACTCTTCAAAATCACCACTAAGGTTCAACCGTGATTTTACAATGACTGACTAATACACTGGTTATGACCCATTATCTTCTCCATTTAATAAAATCTTGAATCATAGGACTATCAAGAAGAAACAGCTGAATATAATCATTTAGCAGCAGGCTTGCAAGAACTCATTTTTCATAAACTTTTTAATCCAGAGTCCTTGCCACAAAGAACTTCTGATCTAAAAGGGACAGAAAGGCAGGGAAAGGCAATATGATGATCAATACGATGGCGGCAACCCTGGCAGTTAAGAGCTAACTAAAACCTAAGACAGAATCCAGCTGAGGCAGTGGCAAAGCTCAGTTCCTGTAGTACTATGAACTTCTCAAAGGCACTGATGCCACACTGAAAATTCTCAAAAAGCTCAGATTCTAATGAGTTTTCTGTTCTCTTTCAGACAATACCTGGCCTTTACCAACTGCCTTGTGTCCTATCTGGCTGTTCCTCGATGTCCTCTTTTCCACAGCTTCCATCATGCACCTCTGTGCCATCTCACTAGACCGTTATATTGCGATAAAAAAGCCAATCCAGGCTAGTCAGTACAATTCATGGGCTACAACAATCATCAAAATCATCGTGGTTTGGCTCATTTCAATAGGTATGTGAGACATGGAGACTGGAAAAGGAACACAGAAGCTTTTCATGTCTAAAACAACAGGTGAAAGCTGGGCAAAATGGAAAATTTAGTCAAGTATTATTGATTAGCAGACCCCAACACCCAGGTTGGCCTAAGTCCACCTCTTGGATCACATATAGATACATCACAGAAATCTGCCTGAACTGCTGCTCCTTATCAGGCTCACCAGAAAGGCCAAGGATTGAGTCAGGATAATCATCACTTTTCTTCATAGTCCTGAAAGTTCCAAAATCAGAAGACTATATCCATGTGCATAACAGGTCTCCCAGGAAAGCAAGATTCATGTTCCTGTGGTGGTATATTCTGTCCCAAACACAGTTTTAAGCCTTGATTAGATGCTGGTAAAATCTGTGCCTTACAATTGCCCCATGAAGCAAGTACAGAAAGGTTTTAGTTACTTATACCAAACACTGAAATCTAAATGAGTGGCTGGGAACATCCACACTGAAGACTAAGATGCACTGCCAATACAGCATATAGAAAGGTTATTATCTAACAAAAAAAACCCCCAAAACAACAAACCCTGAACAGGTTATATAAAGGATAACAATGTACAAACCTTTATGATATTAGCATCTCTGTGATGTGCATGCAACACTTCACCTGTCTTTGAAACAATAAATCTGCCAAATGTGGAAACATTTAATTCAAATAAGTTAAGGCACACTGCAGGCAGCCATAGTGCTGTATGCTCTGTGCAAGAGAAAACAAAATTATTCTCTTTATTAAGGCATACGACACATAGGAGAATGGGTACATCCACCTTTGTGGATGAGGTAAATGTGCCTAAACCCAAAATTTCTGACTTTAAAAAAAAAGGAAAACTTAGTATGACAAGACACTTACAAGTTGACCTTTTAATGTCTGATTTATTGCCATTAACCACTGCTGTACTTTTCAATTTCTTTTTATCTAACACAAACCTACTCTGCAGCTGAGCCAGATTCTCCAAATCAAAGGTTAATTTGGTTCAATCCTTATATTAAATGTTTGCTGTATCTGAAGGTGCCTCTAATTAAGAAAGGGATCAAGTTGCTAGAGGGTAACCCATTTTTCTCACTGCCTTCAACCAACTTCAGTAAGCAGAGCAGCAGAGGAATACAGTAAATCCCTAGATCTCATTAAGTGGTATCAGAAAACAGCACAAATAACCTTCACCAGACAGCAAGGAACCTGTTGTTTTTGTTGTAATGTCAGACTGCTGGCAAATGAAGTGCTGACTGTAATTTAATGGTTATAAAAAATTCATTTAAAAGACAAGACTGCTAACATTTTTTTAAACGAGTGGTGAATTACAGAGCTAGCCATCCTCATTTAAACACTCCTAAATATGCAGGAGACTTTAAACAACAAATCCATCTCAAACACATACTGCATAATTCTGGCAACTATTTAACTACTTGTATATATGAAAGAGTCAAGCAGAGTGAAAAAAATCAGCTGTCTGTGTCCAGTCACTTGGTTAATTTAAGAAGGAAAGACAAGATTTATGTATTTACAAAACTGCCCTTCAAAAAGTGCAAAGGTTACTCTGGAGAAAAAAAAAGGATGGCATTATGGAAATACATTTCACTGGAGGAGAAAGCCATACTAATTCCAACAACTAGAGACAAAGCAATTCATGTGTTTTACACTTGAAAAGTTGGCCACTTTATACCACTTCCTCAATCACTAAGGGTTAGGTCCAATCTCCTTAGAAAGGGCACTCTTAAAGCTCAGCTTGCCAAGTCTTACAAGTACTGTTTGACTCACGTGGTGTCTGTCACCCTGTGCCTGCTCCAGAGCTCAGGAATTACCTTTCTTTAGAAACCCCAAGGCTTCAGACCCAATGAAGAGATCGCAAGCAATTACCACATGCTGAAGTACTTGTTTTTTCTCCTGTAGGCATTGCAATCCCGATCCCTATCAGAGGCATCGAAGACGGAAACGGCAACTCCACAAACATCACGTGTGTCCTGATGCCTGATCGTTTCCATGACTTCATTCTGTTCGGCTCAGTGGCTGCGTTCTTCATTCCCCTCGCTATCATGATTGTCACCTATTTTCTGACAATCCAAGTGCTGCGCAAGAAGGCCTATTTGATCCACAAACCGCCCCAGCGCTTCACTTGGTCAACAGTGTCCACAGTATTCCAGCGTGACACAACACCCGCCTCCTCACCGGAGAAGGTGGCCATGCTAAATGGCTCCAGGAAGGACCAGACTCTGTCCAGTGACATGCCTCTCTGCAGGACATCTACAATTGGGAGGAAGTCCATGCAAACCATAACCAATGAGCAAAGGGCATCAAAAGTTCTGGGGATTGTATTTTTTCTTTTCCTGCTGATGTGGTGCCCATTTTTCATAACAAACATAAGTTCAGTTCTGTGCAACTCCTGCAACAAGGAGGTTTTCCAAAAGCTTTTGGAGATATTTGTTTGGATAGGATATCTATCCTCAGGAGTGAACCCTCTTGTATATACACTCTTCAACAAAACATTTAGGGAGGCTTTCAGCAGGTATATCACTTGCAACTACCAGACCATAAAGCCTATCAAGGCCCTGCGGAAGCGCTCCAGCAGGATCTCTTTCAGAAGCTCTGTGGCAGAAAATTCCAAGCTCTTTGTCATGAACGGGATGAGAAACGGGATTAACCCCATTATGTACCAGAGCCCAATGAGGCTGAGGAGCTCACCCATGCAGGCATCATCAGCCATTCTGCTGGACACCTTGCTGCTCACTGAGAATGAAGCTGATAAAACAGAAGAACAAGTCAGCTACGTATAGTGGAACTGCAGCTGTGTCTGTATATAGCATTGCTGTATGTATTATTCTAGATAACTGTGCTATAAGAGGGTATAAATACTATTGTTTTCTGTTATTTATGCAAGCAATATCTTATAAATTTATATTAATTCCTCTCTTCCAAAGACTCCTCTACTTTAACCCCAACCCCGTGGTTGCCATGGTGGCAACCACAACTTCATTCCATGAAAAATGACTCATGCAGAACTGTAGCCTAAGGAAGAGGGAAATAAATAAAACCTAAATCAGTTTGAGTATGTGACTTCAGTTCTCATCATCTTCAGTCTCTTCAAAGCACGTCTTTGTAAGAAAAGCATTTCTGTACAAACACTACTATAACACTCACTCTTGCAAGAAGACAAAACTCTGTAGGTTGATGGTCTACAATGCAAGTAGCAGGAGGATGCAAGATCGTTGGTTTTAATTTAAATCTCTGTCCACAGACCAGCCCACAAGCTCACTGCATTCCCTCCTACAGATACATTCCTCTGCTGAGACTGAGTATCCACATACGAGCTTTTCTTGTTCTCTCAGGGTACGTAAACCACAAGAAGAATCACTTGCTCCCAGAGACCGTGACATGTGCTCCCAGACATGCACATTCCACAAGGCATGATTAAACATTCCATGTGCAGAAATCATCTCTTTACTGTAGGGGCAGGCAGAATCTCTCACCCACCTGGATTCCATCTCCATTATACTCACACATGCGTAAGCCCAATATTGTCAGATTTGTTGCAGAAAACTGCCCTTTTATCTTTTCATGCTAAGAAAATGAAATATTTAATAAAATCAGAATGATAGATGATCAATGATCATGAGTAAAACAGGACAGGCAGTGCCTGGAACATCCCTATAACTTATATGAACAGACTTCTTTTTTTATGACTGTGGAAACTTCAGCAAAAGCTTTCCCCCATCCCATGTAGCTCACAGAAAGTACAAAAATCACAGACAGAATAGCTATTTCAAATGAAAATAAGAGCAAGTGTTTTAAGAGGCAGCAGAGACAACAGTTCATTGTGGTTTATCTTAGCTCAAAAATATTTAATTGGACTAATTGGCATAAGATTGGAGCCATAGAATCATAGAATAAAATCACAGAATTACAGCTCCCAATCTGCATGCTCTCCAACGTGCTCTAGACTTCTATATGAGCACAAAATTCAGAGAAAGAATCAGTCCTTACAACCTATAAGGGCTACCAAAGTCTGTCATTTGGGAAATCAGAAGCTTCTGACAGTTCCAGACCATCCCTCTTTGGGAAAAGAAACCAGATTTCCCCAAAGTACTGGAGTTCTTACAGCAAACACCTAGATCACCATTTTTTCAATAGTTTCCATTTCTAGTAAGATTTTCAGCTTGGGCTTTGTTTTCATTTTTCATGTTTTCAGCATTCTTTAGTTACACACTAAAATTATGTAGAGCAAAAGGCTTAGGTTTTTTTCATCTGCAGAACAGAAAGTGCTAAAGATAACGTGTCCTTCTAACATCTATTTTTATATATTTAATTTAAAACATATGCAAGTTGCAAACAGAGCAACTGCCAGAGAGTTCCAGGAGAAAGCATTAAAAATACATTTGTGGTACTTACTGTAAAAGTTATCTTCTTCCTCTCCTTTTTGGTGATAGTCAGTAGCCATTTAAGTCAGAAAAAGCTCTAACTGCTCTCACTCCTCTTTAAGCAACCAAAATTTGTTTAGGAGGATTCTGTATTTAAAAACCAGAACTGATGGACTGCTATAGCTATGAAAGATACCTACTCTTAAAAATGTTTGAGAATCAAAAGCTTTTGATAAGACCTAGATTACTTTGAAGCTCAAACAGGGAGGGAGTAGCATCAAAAAATCACCAAACCCTCCAAAACTTCCAGCTACATAGCTGAAAACATCACAGACCAGTGCCTTATTTAACTTAGAGCAGGTGCTCTGAGACCAGGTAAAGGTGGGACCACATCCATGCACAGAGTGATCACAGCAAAAAAACTTAAAAGCATCATTTGCAATGCAGGACCCAGCCTTCCTGAGGAATAACACCAAGAGGCAAACAGGTACAGTACAGTTCTTGAGGGGTTATTGCCCAGCAGTCAGAGAGTAAGAAGTCATCTTTGAAAACTTCCTTGATACTTAAAAAAATCCACATTAATTAAACAAAAAATGTTCATATAGCAGGCAACAAACATCTAATTTCAGCAAAAACTTAATTTTTCCCTTTCCAGAAGAAACATGACAGCTGCCTCACAGCATCTAGAAAAAAGAAAGTGGTAACTTAGTTCTCTTCTGTTTGACCCTGTTCTTGTACAGCTGTCAGTCTGCAATCTGTCTTACATGAGGAGCAATTTGCCCTTAATGTCCCACAGAGAACAATTTCAAGGACCCTCTGTAATCAGTGCTTAGACTCCACAAACAGGAAATAAACCTTGAAGAAGTCTCACCCAACAAAGATGTATCTCCTCAAGCCAGTATACTGACTTCTCAATTCTAGTAACTGTAAATAGAAGCTCAACATGTTCCAGTTACTGAATTTAGTCAGCAACAATAAACCTCAAGTAAAAGGACAAGTGACTAATCAAAAACCCAGTCTTCCAACAGAGAAAGGAAATTTCTCCATAGACAGAAACACATCAGCAAGAATGCAAGAACATTCCAATTAACACACTAAGTGTAAGAAGACATTGTCCACGGACAAAGCAAACAAGCTGAGACTTCAGGTAACAGCCTTAGAAAGCAGAAGGACAGAGCAAAAAGAAAGAGGAAGAGAGATGCACAACTAAGAAACAAGAAAATAAAGCATGGCAGAGATCTTGTTTTAGCAACTGTTTCTACAAGAACAGATCTGAACAGAGACGTCACCTTCATTAGCAAGACAAAATCAGAGTCACTGCAAGCTACTGTAAGAAAGCACAAGTTTGTTGTATGGTAACTAAGGACAACACTTTGTGTGGTATCGACAAGCGAGGCAAGCGGCTCAGGACTAAAGCACCATCTTTAGGTAACACAAATTTGTAAAATATATTTTTACATACTGGCTGTGAAGTGAGAGTATTCTTATAACTTCTAGCTTCTTTCATAAAGATAGCAGCCTAAATAATAATAGAAATAAGCTTTGCAGTCACTTGGTAGTACAACACAAGGACATTTTTACAGGAGAAATTCCCATTTAAGACAAAAGAAACAAAAAGGGATTCCTTTTCTGGGAGCAAAATGCTCCCAATTCTTTCAGAATCTGGCCCATGCCAAGTCAACCACCTGGCCAGCTCTGTGGCCTCTATACACTCCATAACTTACACAGTTACCTTGTTCAACTTTTCTCATTATCACAAAAACTTTTATCTGGCATATTTAATTTCTTTTTAAACTACAGAAAAGCCAGACAAACAAAAGTCAAAGCTGATCTGCAACATCCAAGCACTACGGGAAGGAACACAATTTAGAAGAACGGTGGACAAGTACTCTGTTTTTGTTGTTGTTTAATTATTTAAAATACATTAGGAGATACTTAGTCAATGTTCTGGCTGTCTATGTAATTAAAAATTACAGCACAGTCATGGACATAAGGACTCAGCAGTCTTGCAGAGAGGAAAATAATGGAGTTCAAAGACTAATAGAATAAGTGCCTTGAAATGCAAATGAAAGGATTATCTTAAAAAAACTAAACAAAACCAAAAATCAACAAAAAACCAAACACAAAACTCTCACCAAAGCAACCAATCAAAAAAAACCAAGCAAAGGCAACCAAACAAAATCCCAGCCTTTAATTACCCTGAGAAAGAGAGAAGCAAGAAATTCAGCTAATCTCAAAAGTGGTAGAAAATGCATTTCACGAAGCCAGTACTAAACCATCTTGGGTTCTGTATGCTGCAAGCCTTTAGTTCAGATTCTATCAGAAAACTTACAGGCATCTAGAAAAATGTATTAATCACTTATCTTACATCCTCCAAGAGTAAAACTCTTCCTAACCATATCACATTAGGCCATACTACTATCAATTTTCAAATGCAAACACAGTTAAAAAACCCCAGTGTCAAGCAGAAGTCAAGGCACTGAGAAGAGAGGCTGATGCCATAAAGCTGTTCACCAGCACACAAGAGGCACGTCTGATTTTTTTATAGTGCTTCACAGAAAGTGTTGTTTTTCTACACTGTTTTCCTATTGCGGAAAAATCCGTATCGGTGCAAGCTGGTATAAGAAAGCAAAGGCATTACTCTCCTAAATCTTTTTCTAGGCTGCTGTATGTAACATCAGACTTAAAAGCAAAGTAAGGTAAGGACCGTAAACCTCATAAAGGCACAACTGAACAACGTGGGGCACTGAAGCCCAAGGAACAGGGCACTTGCCAGAGCTCTTCCGGCTTTCTGTCTTCCAAGCTGGAGCCAGGAGTCCCGGAGTTCTGGCCAATTCTCAGCACTGACTTAATATTACCAGGGAGCATTAGATTTCTTTCTTCATATTGATAAAGATGCCTACATACAACTGCTAAGAAGCCTGCCTTTGTTTCACTACCCGTTTGCCTCTCTAGGCAACCATCAACATGGCAAAAACAATAGTCAGGAGAGAAGCAACTCCCATAATTTTGCTTGGGCATGACACCATGGTGTTTACTATCAGTGTCCATTCCCAGGAGACACGCTGTTTTCTCCAACGGAAAAAGAAGAGTTTTGCCCTGCAGAGAAGAAGAGGAAGCCTTTTCATTTTAAAATGGGAAGCTAGGTACAAAAATAGGAAAGACAGCTTGCTAAAGTGTCCGTTTTTACTCTTATTTTTAATCATTCATGTCAACACATGCCACAGCTCAGATTCCTTGCATCCAGGTATCAAGGTCCTTTCCAATCTCTGAAAAACAACGTCATGCTCTTAAAAATTAGGAGCTTCTTCCTCTTTACAAATGCCCTACACAGGTACTGACAACTCATTTTCAAATTCATTAAACCCCACACAACAAATGAGCCCTTTATTCTGCAAGACACATATCAGTATTCCCTAAAAATCCAACAGGAAGTTTTTGCCATAAAAAAATAATTAGTCAGCTTCATTTAAAGGCTCAAAGAATCTCAGCATTTTTGATTACTTAATTTGAAAGTTCAGTTACTGAACGGTAGTTTTAAAGCAAATTCAAGGACTTGGTCAAACAACCAAATTAGTTATAATTCTCACTGCTTAATATGTCCAGTTAGCCAGTTAGAAAACCTTTGTGTGTACAGTCCTAGAGAAGGAAAATATTTTTCTGCAATTAGAGTGGG